TTTGCAATGAGAGTAGCGATTCGATGCACTACCTGTACGTTGTGGTGACCCATTGGGGTGTGGAGGTCCAGTTGCACAAACTAAGCTGAATTTCTCTGTCTTCGGTGGTTTTGTATTACTTGGCTGCTCCAACAGGATAGCTCAGCCCTTCTGTTCCATCCCCACATCCAGACAGGTAAAGGAGGTTATACACAGCTTATTCTGCCTCTCTAAGAAATCCTTTTTGCAGAGAAGGCTCAGTCTCAGTGACACCTTGGGTCAGCATTTCTCTTTTTTCCTTGCCATCTACCCCAGAAGTAGCTGCATTTCTGACTGTCTCAGCACTACTGGCTTGTGCTGTCAGGACACAGATCTTGCCGGTGCGTATGAAGACGGTGGTATAAATCAGCCTCCTTCCAGTGGCTTAACCAGAACCTTGACAGCTTTCATCAGTGTAGGGTATGGATCCTTCTCTTGGCTCCTTCAAAATAAACAACTATATAAATTGTAAGATGGTTATCATCAGAGTTTATTAGTGTATTACCACATGCTGCTTTGTATTCAGACAATAGATAAAAACATCTGTGCTTTGTTTTCTCAGTCAAATCTACAGCAAACACGCTTATTCTTGCTCCCATCTGAGGAGGACTGTGTCAGTGCTCTTGCCAAAAACACATGAAGATCAGCCCAAGTCTTGTGCACTTGCCCATAGCAACGTAACGAGGCAGCGCAGAAGCTCTGCATGCCTTTGGGAGTGTTTAATGTTTTCCAGGAGGTGACATATGTTGGTTTTAAGGTTTGATTTGTTGGCTGCTTTAGATGATAATCTCATCAAGGCGTGAGCTGTCTTCTTGCTTTGGTTATCAGGGCAGGTGGAGGTGTACAGGGATTGATGTGCTTGGCTTTAAGAGTGCGTTGCATACCTGCGTGTTGGGAGCACACGACCTGCCATCTCAGCAGGAGGAGGAGTGTTTCCATGATCAGCAGAAGCAGCCCTGCAGAAACATCTGAACTTGTTGCCTTTTGACACTCAACAGAAGTTTTCATCTGTTCATGCTAACATCACCTAAAATATGGGGGTCTGCAAACCAGCCTACAGTGCTGGACTTAATCATTTTTTTTCTCAGTTCAGTTCTTGCTGTTTCTCCCCAGGCTACATAATACTCAGTCTTGTAGACCAGACGTGAAGTATGACCAAACTTCTGGAAACGACGGGAAGCAAATGTCCTGATTCAACCCATAAGCGTGTTGGGCAGAGTCACAGTTTGTACAATTGGCTAAATATTGTCCTAGTACTTTGGGGACCATTTCATGCAAGATAAGCTCGAGGCTTCTTAGGAGCGAGTTAAAGGGACTGGCACTAAATGTCAATGAAAATGTAAGACTTGTCTGCCAAGCAGTAGCTTGTGGTTTTGTGATGAGGTCAAAAATCATGCACAAACAGCGTATGGTTTTCACATCCACGGCCTGTCCCCCACCATGTCAGTAACAATCGGCCTTTCATACTGCTCGGCCAGAGCCACTCTGCTGTGTAAAGAAGGATGGGGTGAAATCTTGGTGACAGGCAAAGTGAAAAATTGTCATCAAATATGTTGGGGGGGCAGGGTTTTAGCCAGAGTCTCTGTCCTAAAGAGCCTGTGAGGTTTGTCTGGCCCTGGCAGGATTACATGGAAAGAAAACTTGGTCTTCCAATGAAAAATTAGAAGTTTAATTGAAATTCATAGGTTTCTATCCGGCCAAGCATGCTGCATGTTGATGATGTGATCTTGTAAACATGAGAAAGTTGCTTACTCTCCCTAAAATCGGGATAAGAAACTTTTCCTTGGGATTATGATGAGGAACTGCCATAAGACTGGTTGAGATCTCAGCTGATGCTTGTCCAGCAGCTGTCGCTTGCAATGGAAATTCTTGCTGCTCTCACAGATTTCTCCAAAGATAGTTTAGAAACAAGCAGACTTGATCACGTTTCTTCTTGCTCTAAAAATTTTGCCCTGTCTCAACTTGGAGAAGAGGCCTTTGCAGTTCTGATTAGCCTCAGCAATCTCACCTCTGTGATCACCCTCTCTCTCCTTCTTAGGGGGTTTTCTTTTTAGAGGAGGAGCTCAGACAGTTCTTATACTTTTTGTTCAAGGAGAAATGTACATTACATGACTTTTAATTACAGGTCAAGGCATTCAACCTGCACAACAGACAGATTCTGCATACGGGAAGTTATTCCTGTGTTTGCAGAAGTCCCTCAAGTGCATGGTGTACCTTGTCGTTATACACAACATGGTGCTGGGGAGGATAGAGGTGAGGAGATTCCCTCATTCAAAAAATGGAGGGTTTTTCCTCTTTTGGCATTGAGCTGTGACTGTAGGTGGGAGTGTTCCCAGAGTTGTGTCCTGCTGGCACTAGTTGGATTATGGTGTGGTCATCAAGGGCAAGAAATAGCAAGGAAACCTTGTTCTTCTCATGCCTGCCTTGTAGGCAGAAAAAGCATAGGGTGAATCACTCGTGTTTCCTTGTCTTGATATCATCTTTGGACATTGCTGTGGTTTGAATGGTGCTCTCACGGCATGCCTCAGGTCACCTGCGGACAACAAATGTTTTTGAAGGTTATGTTTTGGATTATTGCTCAGATTCAGATACAGCTGCTTTGGCCAGAGGATCTCTTTCCCATAAGTAAAACTTAACTCAAATGTGAATGTTCACAACTGGTTTTATTTTGTCTTCTTTCATGCATTTGCCTGCATGTGTGTGAAGGTGGGTATGCAGTGGGGCGAAAAGCTGGTTAGTAGAGCTGTGAAACAGCCGTGAAAAACCCATTCTCTAGATGGGGTCTCCAGTAGACAGTAAGGAACCCCAACCAAGTGTCTTTATGGTTCAATAATTTGGATTAAATTGAAATAGTGATTTAGGAGAAAGAGACTAGAGAAACTAGAAAATAAACTTGGAAGTCTGATATCTTCTTCAATGTGAAATCAGACCGTTAGGGGGTTACACTCTTGTCTGTTTGAAAAATGGTCCAAGCTGGAAATGAAGAGTCAAAGTGTTTTGTTTGGAAAATATCAAAATGAAAGAATTTCTGGGGAAAAAAGTATTCTATACTATAGGCTGAAATAAAATGATATTAGTTGGTGGCTCAGCTTGCAATGTGCATGCAGCAGCCCTGCGGTCTTGACTCCTGAACACCACCTGGGCCAACTGTGGTACCCAGCGCATCGGCCTTGCTCGGTGGTCTCTGAGAATGGAAAAGTTAGTCCTCTTCTTAATGAAGAAAAATCACTTTGGTTATTAGGAAAGCCTCCAAAAGCTCGTGCGGGGAAGTGGGGGTACAGGTCGGGATGCTGACAGTTTACGGAGGCTTCCCGGGAGCAGGTAGTCCACAGCAGTCCTCGTCCACCCACAGCTCTGACCCCAGCCAGTGCCCGCAGCCAGAAAGGCACAAGCAAAACTAAAATGGGTGAGAAAACCAAAATGGATGGGAGCAGGTGCCTGCGGGAAGTATCACCACAGCTGCTCCCATGCTGTACGGCTTGCATCAGGAAAACCAATACCAAGAAAATCAACTACCCTCTCTTGAGCCTTATCATTAGGACGGATTTTTTAATTTTATTTTGGTTTTTTACTGTCTGAAGGCCTCCCCAAAAATTCAATGGCCGTTCAGATTTGGGAGACGGCCACCCATTGCCCATGTGACCTGAGCGAGCATCGCTGTTGCCCGTGTGCGGCAGAGGGGTAGATGGCACTGCCTTCTGCAGCATATGTACAGAACCGCTTGCTGGGCTGCTTCTTAAATGAGTGGTCACTGCTGCTGGGTGTTGAAATGGGCCGTTCAGCAATGTCTGTCTCTTCTCCTTTCTCCACACATGTGTGCTGGTGCCCTGTTCCAGCCGGTGAATTTTTTTCTTCTTTCTTTGAAGCGTCGGTTCCTCGGCGGCTGGCCCGAGCGGAGGGGAGTGGTGTGACTGCGCCGTGGGGGAAGCTGCTCACCTGGCTCGCCGGGGGGGGGTCCAGCCACAAAAACCACCTGTTGTTCCTGGCCTGCTGCCTTCTTGGTTTTATTTCTCAAACTTGCAAATGAGGGAGAAGAAAGGAGCTAAGTGCATTTTTGTCTGCCAGCAGAGCCAGGATTGGACCTTTAACTCCAGTTTCATCCATCATTTGCTGGTTCTGCTGGCACACTGACCCCTGGCCATAACGCACCATTTAATGTTTGCTGTACCCTGGGTTAAGCAATGAAGAGTAGCAAGGCTCTAGCTTCTCAGTGGGATTTGGTCACTGGCAACTGGAAATGATCTGAAACTTGACAGCTGCGCTGACCCGGGGTGATTTTTGGCATGGCTGCATGGGCCCAGCCCCTGTAGGAAAGATATTCAGATGATAAGGCTTGATAAGATGATTAGGCTTCGGGGTGACCTTATAGCAGCCTTCTAGTACGTGAGGGGGGCCTACAGGAAGGATGGAGAGGGACTTTTCACAAGGGTGTGTAGTGATAGGACAAGGGGGAATGGCTGTAAACTCAGAGGGCAGATTTAGATTGGATGTTAGGAAGAAATTCTTCACCATGAGGGTAGTGAGGCACTGGAACAGGTCGCCCAGAGAAGCTGTGGATACTCCCTCACTGAAAGTGGTCAAGGCCAGGCTGGATGGAGCTCTGAGCAACCTGGTCTAGTGGAAGATGTCCCTGCTTATGGCAGGGGGGTTGGAACCAGATGATCTTCAAGGTCCCTTCCAACCCAAACCATTCTATGATTCTATAAAAGTTTTGCACATGCATTTGGTTGCAATTAGTGATCCTTGTAGACAAGGCAGAAGTAAACAAGCCATAGCAGTGGGGCTGCCTGCACTTCTGAGTGATGGGTCTGGGTCGGGATAGAGCTGTTGGCAAGGGTAGGCGCTGCCGCTCCTGTCCACAAGGACTTTGGACATCAGTACTGCCTTCATCCTCACTCCTTAGGCAGCAGGTAAAAGCTGCCTTGTGCATGTTGCCCTCTTCTCATTACTAATGAGTGATCGGAGATGATCTCTTTCTCCGGCAGGTTTAGCACACTGGAAGCATGGCTACAAGTGCTGTTCCCAGCGAAAACCTCCCCACGTATAAGCTGGTGGTGGTTGGAGATGGTGGCGTGGGGAAGAGCGCTCTCACCATTCAGTTTTTCCAGAAGATTTTTGTGCCGGACTATGACCCAACTATTGAAGACTCCTACCTGAAGCACACGGAAATAGATGGGCAGTGGGCAATTCTTGATGGTAAGCAAGCTACTCTCGTGGTCGCCTTCCCCTTCCAGCTGAGCATAAATGCAAATAGACCTCAATGCCTCCCACAACATGTTGTGCTCTTGCGTCCCTCCTACTCTACTGTGGGCTGCCAGGAATTTGAGTGCAGACTGGCCTGTGAGCTGCAGCACGTGGTCTGCAGCTGATCTCCAGCAAAGCTTCTGCTTCCAGTTGCGTTCATTCTGGTTCTGCACAGAAATGTTTTTTGCAGGAGTGTAAAAACCTATAGATCATCATAGACGTTTGGGGTAGGCTGCTACAAAGGGTGAATTATAGCACTGTGCGGTGGTTATTGCTGATGATACTTCATTGTGGTTAGGCTCATCCCCTGGGAAATAATAGTGAGTGGGTAACTGAATGAGGGTTATAACCAGAAAGAACGTTTAATCTAACCTGTCATCCACTGACAGTGAAGAATTGTAACACTTCTTAACTCCCATCATTCAGGTATGATGATTTCATATCTAGTTACCTGTTTCATTTAAATACGGGTAGGGTACCAGCCTGGAGAGCTGCTGTAACCAAGATCTTTCAGTTCTTTGAAGAAAAATTGCTTGCTTTTTTATTAAAAAAAAAAAAGCAACAAACAAACAAAGAAGCCCCACAAACCCAGCCAAACAAAAAACCAAAGAGCCAACTACTCCCCAGAAAATCTTGATTCTGAATGTAAGAAAAAAGCCTTATATTACCTAAAGCAGCAACTTATTAGTTTGTGCTGCAAGAGACAGACTGACCACAGCCATAAAGGGAATCTTGCTGTTAAATGTTAGAGGTTTTGTTTTGCTCTATACAATAATTAAATTGCACATAAAAACAAGCAAATATTTTGTGCCTTAATTACCCAAGTGCTTGTATGGGGCCACTAACATAACTGAACTAAATTCAACCTCACTTGCAGCGTGTTCCTAGCTCCATCCTCTCGTCAAGAAGGCACTCAAGGTCTTTGGTGTCTGTGCGTATGTGTCATTGGTATGTGGAGACAGAAAACTGGGGGACTGGCATGAATGGTGGAACGTAGAGGGTGGTGCGGTTTGCTGCGAAGACCGTAAGCTTGGTCTGGAAACTTGATGTCTTCGTTGCACTCTTAAGGGCTTATCAGATGCAATTTTGTGAGTACAAATGGTCCCAAGGTACTTAAAGAACAGCCTTTACTCAGTATTAAAAAAAAAACCAAAAACAAAACCCCAAGCAACCAGCAACTTAATCTTGCCAACATTTGTTCATTTAAATACGTTAGTAGCTGGTCACTGATACGAGGGAATTGTGGAATTGGTGCCCAAATATATCTCTTATTGTCATCTGCATCAGAGATACCTGCTCTCAGTTAACCATCACATAATATATCTGTGCACCTTTATTTTTAAAATGTCACTGTGGTGTAAAAGAAAAATCTGATCCTGCTGTAAATGAAATCCATACTTTCTTTTTAGTCCAGAATCCAGCCCTCTGAAATGAGCAAACTTCATCTCCATGGGTGTGCCCTGTGATACCACAGTACCAGCTGCTGTACACATCGATGTGGGCTGAAACAGCCTGGGTTTTGTAAATTATTTGGAAGTAGAAAAGGCATCTTTCACTGAATATTTGGAATTTTTGTTTAGTCAAAAAAAACAAAACCCTCAAAACCAACCCTGACCTGGGTGGGAGTGGAGAAAGAGGTTGTTTTCCAACAAGCAGAAGCTTAACCCTTTGTTTTAATGAAAAAGCCTTTCTTTTGCTCAGATGGAGTTTAGTGGCTGTACTTGGGCTGAACTGAATTCAGCTGTAGCCTTGAATGGCACCTTGGGAATCCCTGACTTTCAGAGTCCGTGTGCCCACAGATGCCTTGCAGCCACAGAAGTGAAACTGCAGCTTCTCCTTCTCTTTCCTACCGCTTGAGACTTTGAACAATCAGAATTTTGGAAGAAAGGCAATATGCTTGCTTGGAAGAATGGGTGAGCCTTTACCATCTGCCCAGTAGAAACAGGGCATAAAGACTGGCTATCACATTTGTCTTCTGCTACCACTTTCTGTCACAGGCTTTGGATCTAGGCCGTTCTCGGAGGTCACCATATACTTGGACAGCTGCTCTTGTTGTGGTTACATGTGGTTGCATGAATCACAGTATAAAATTAGGGACAAACAAGATAGGAAGGGTAAACATGCATCATGATAATTTCTAGACTTTCCAGTTGTCCTTTATGACCAAATCCTTTACAAGCTGATGTTGCCTGCAGTGCTTGGTGGCAAGAAGCAGCTGCCTATCCCCAAAATAGGAACCAGTTTTAGAAGATGAGACTACCAAGTGAGGATATAGCGTGAGGGGCTCCATAAGTTTCTAAGTTTGCAGAAATAGTTATTTAAAAAAAAAAAGCCAAATACACCGGCATCCAGCAACGTAAAAAAAAAAAAAAAAAAGGAAAAAAAACACAGCCCACCCTCTTCCAGACTGTTGCCTGAGCAGTTCTGTACAAAGCACCTCTAGCATTTGGTATCTGCACCAGCATTATGTCGTAAGAAAACCTCTTGTGCTAGCCAGCTTGCATAAAGCATTTGGCTTCCATGCACGAAGACCTCCACCCACGTTTATTCAATAGCACTAACTGGCCACGTGATGAAATGTTTGACTCACATTTTTTTCCTTTGCTGAAAGCTCTCACTGAAAGTAGGCTTAAATGGAATAGGCTTTTATTTCAGATTTTAGACCTTGGAGCCAAACCTACACTCAAACTCTTCTTTTACAGATTTGCTCTCTGGCTTGGGCATGTCTATGTGTCTATTTTCTTACCAAAGAAGAGTCTGTGATAGTTCCCTGCCTCCCAGAAGATTCTGGGACCTGTGCTTGGTGTATTCAAGTCCAACACTACACAAAAATACTTTATTGTTGGCCTTACACCAGCTTTATAAGACCATCAATGCAGTGTTTGGAGGACAAGTGCTGCAGAGTGGAACAGGGCACTTAACCTGAATAAGGGATGCAAAGCCCGTTTTTTCAATTGCTGCCACCCCAACGAGGCTTGAAGATCAGCCTCCAGTTTTCTCTGCATATGTTATCTTCATTTATTCCCTGCTGTTCATACTGAAATCAGCACAGTGATGTGCTCAGTTAAATGCATTCACACGCAGGTGCTATATAGACACATCAGGTCAGAATTAAGTGGGGGCCAGGGTTAATCTGCTTTGATTAGCTGTTGCTCCAATTGAGTTGCTATCATTAATTTTGCACGCTCCTTTCTGTGTGCAGGCTAACTTAGCAATTAGCAGAGGATTTCTTTTGGTGTGGCTGTAAAATGCCAGTCTGGAATTATTAATCTGAGCATGAAGCCAAAAGTGGAATACCTTAATATGGCAAAAAATTCCCAGTGGTTCAAAATGCCTAGTGGCTCATAAACCATGCATAGCTAAAAAGACCCCGTGGAGTCACACCACGCACTGTGCCTTCCCCTGAGCTCCCTCGATGCCCGTGTGTCCCTTTTTGCTGAGGGTTTTTGCTGCTAGTCATCCCAGGACAGGCTGTCTGCTTTTCTGCTTTTCTCCTCAGGAAGCTTGGGAACAGTTCAGCCAGGAGGCCAGAGGGAGATCAAAGGTCACTTCAGGCTTGCAGGCAGAAGGGTTGGTTTGCGGCTCGCTTTCCTTGTGTGTTTTTTTTTATTTAAACTTTGGGTAGCATCATTAAAATAATTAAAATTCAAATTAAGTTTTTACTTTCAGTCTTTTATTTGTGTGTACAGTATTTTCCCTCCCTTAATTACTGGGATTTTGCAATCTTGAAAGAGGGTTTTTTTTGTCTTGGGTCATGGGGACTTTTTTCCTGCCAGGAAAATTTTGATGTTGCGACATGGAAAACACAAGGCTTTGAATATTTGCCCTTTGTCAGAGAAAGAGCCCCTTTTAGGGCTCGTATCTTTATTCTGTTTATTGATGTGGAAGCCTTTCTTCTGAAGGCCCCTCTTTTCTTTTTCCTTAAAGAAAGGGCAAGAATTCAAGTACTCGGGTTTTCCATGTTACAACATCTGTGTATTTAGTTAGGGCACAGAAGAGGGCTCATAAAAGCCCCAGTGTTTCCCCCGTCACGTGTTTTTGCTCGAGGAAAGCTCTCGCGCTGGAAGCAGTATGGCTGTGTCTGAGAAGGAGCAGAAGCATCAGAGTGACCATGGGAAGCATCTACCTCACCTTATTCACAGCGTGGGCACCTCATACTTCTTCAGGGTGACTTGGGGTGTGGGAATACAGACTGTAAGCCGTGGCCTCTGCTCAGTGCCCAGAATACCGATTCCTCAGCTGAAGCCAATGCCAGATGGGGGCTGCCCTCTCTGACTGCGCTGCTGATGTAAGGAAGATGAAGACGGTGGGCATGGCTTTCCTCAGCCTGAGAGTCTTTGGTTTGACTTATCAGTTCAAGTTAAGTTTTCCCTTGAGCTTGGCTACCAAGCTGCAGGGCAGCTGGGGATGGAGTTTCTCTCTGGCCCTACCTTTTGAAGCAGAGCTGCGGTGCCAAGAGGAAAGCAAGACTTGGAGAGAGAAGCACCACAAGGAGTCCAGCTCGGTAACCTATGGTCCCCTGACAGTGCCACATTCCCAGTTCTGCTCTTTGCTCCAGGGACTTTTCCTGTATTTCATGTTAGGAAGACAAAGAAGCAGAAGATGTCTGGAGTCAGACTTCTTTGTGCTGCTCCTCTCCCTGACATAGTGAACTCTGGTTCCTATCTGCCCGCTGACCCATCCAGCCCTTGAAGGCTTGCCCATGTGCTGCACATACCTAGCCAAAGGCATTTCACTGGAGACTGTGTGCAAAAATCATGTCGTACACATTGTGCTCGCCTTTCCAAGCATGAGATCGAGGTTGGCACAAACAACTGCATCTGTCCCTGAGCTTGGTGATGTGCAGCCACTCTTCCGGATGCTGGAGGGTAAGGTGCTCCAAGAGACATGCTGAGCTGCATTCAGCACTGGCTGTGACAATGTGCAGCTGCTGCTCAGAACAGGCTGCTGGTGTCTGATTCGGGCAGCGAAACCCAAGGGCTGAAGAATAGCAAATGGCTTTAACCTGCTTGTCTGGTCGTCTTAGGCCCCTTAGATGCAATGGACAGTGGAGAAACTCTCTTGAGTTGATCTATACACCTAGCTGCCCAGCAATGTAAAGACAAAGATGTAGGAGGGAATTTTGCCTAGGTGTGAAAAGAGAAGAGGAACATACCTGCACAACCAGATCTGAGCTCCCCGAAGGCTGTTCAGTTTGAATCTGACCTGAATCCAGCCTAGGCTCTAGAAAAAGCAATGCCGTGACTTAGATTTCACAGTATGTCTCTGCCCTTGGCTTAGGTTTACATGCCTGTGTCTCTGGATGGGCGCTCAGAGCACTGTCGGTTACAGAGACATCACCATGTAAAATACCTGGGAGCACCAAGTGCTTCTCTTTTGGGCCATAAATTCCTGTGTATTCCTGGGCTCCTGCGTCCACTCAGAAGTGCCATCTAAGCAGCTACACTCTTGCCTAACCCATCGGGATTCACAGGAAGATGGTGTGAAGAGCTCTAAGGGGGCAGGATTCAATTAGCAAGGAGTTCATCACAACAGTTGGGGTCACATCCACTGAAGAGCAGAGAAGGCCATCTCTTCACTCAGCAACCTCTTACCTGCAAAGCAGGAGACCTCCCTGCTGGGCTTTCACAGCCTAATTGCTCTTAGTTTAGTCTCCAGCTGATTGCGTGATAGCTCTGTGAAATGGCTTTGCCCTCTTTGGATGTCTGTTCCTACGTCAGACATAGTCTTTGGCTTCTCTCTCCTCCATCTTTACCCAAGTGCTTTCGTTAACGCTCCTCTTTGCTCCTCTTTGCTGCTTCTTCGGTCAAGTTTGTGGGAACTTCACCAAGTTTGCTGTTGGAAGTCCATGACCATGCGCTGTGCACCCTATGGATCTGATCTCAGTTCTTGGAAGAACGAGGTAGGGAAAACCCACTGTGCTGTGGTCCAGCCTTGTTTCCACATTGGCTTTTATGTGCCACCAGTGGGGCAGCTGCCAGTAAGAGGCAACTGCTGTTCTGAAGGGGAAGAGAGAGCTCACAGTTCTTCTCTGCTCATGATTATGTCTTCTGGCATACTGTCTGCAGAAATGAGAATTTTAAAAGAAGGTGCATGCTGGCTAACATCCTAAATCTTTGGGAATCCAGTCAATCACCTTCCCAGTTTCGCCTTTCCAAGGTTTCTCTTTGCTACTTTCCCGTTTCTGTAGTTAAGAGTCTTCTTGAAGCTTTTATGCCACAAGATTACTCCAGAAGCAAAGCCACTTGCATCTGGCCCTTTTTCGGTGCTGATGCTTTTCAGTATGTGGTCCCGTCTTGCCGACGCAGGATCCAGATCGCACTCTCTTCTCTGGGTACAATTCATCTAACACGGAAGTGTTAGGATGGGGGGAGTTGTCTTTATGAAGAGCACATTTAAAGTTTAAAGAAAAGACGTTCTCTGGCCATCCACATAATGCTTAACTTCCCGTGAATAACTCATCTGAGATTAACCTTAACCTTCACTGCTGCATGTCTTTTACTTGGATTTCCACAGTGCCATTTTAAATACTGCCTGGACTTGCCTGCCTTTCTACGAATGCTGCAAGTGAATCCTCTTTAAATAGCAGCTGCTGACACAGCAGCTCTGCCTGTGTTTAATGCGATGCTGTGGCCAAGATCCAGGCGAGGTAGGAGTGGCAGGACCGCAGCCCGGTGCTGTGCTCCGGGTGTCCCCACAGCCTGCCTCGGGCTTGTCCCCTGCCCTCTCCGGGGGGGTAGAAAGCTTTGGAGAGGCAGCAGCTAGGGATGGGTTAGTGGGTGCAAGAGCAGAGCTGGATGCTCCTCGTGTGTTTCACGGGAGGTTTGCAAATGTGCCAGAGCAAGGGGAAGTCCCTAAGCAAATTACCATGCAGGATGCGGCACCTCCACCTACCTGCCCACGCCTGTGCTCGGGCACCTGCCTTGTCTCGGGGGAGGAAGGGCTGGAGAGCCTGGCCCCGGTGGGAAGCTGTCCTGCTCCAACACAAGGTGGGTCGGTGTGCTGGAGAGGGGAAGGGAGTGGGCGCACACATGTGTGTGCATGTTGGTTGTCAGCGGGTGCAGGGGTCAGACGAGGGCAGCCCAACCTCTCCTCACAGGTGGGGCAGGTAGGAAGGATTAATTTCCTCTTCTGTCCCAGCCACGTGGTCCTGGCCTCACTCCATGGTAGCAGTTCTGCCCAGGGCATAGAAATTCACCAGCGCATGTAGCGTCTTTGGGTTGTGTTTCTATTTTCTTTTTTCTTTTCTTTTTTTTGTACAGTCCTTAAGAATAGCCAGGATGCCTTTGAGCTAGGACCCTTGTTTCCTAGATTTAGAGGGCAGAAGCAGGATAAAAGGCTATGAAGAAACACCTGTGACCTTCCAGCAAGCTCCAGCTACTTGGCAAACAAGCCTAAATCTCAGGGTCTCTGCAAGAGCCTAGAAGTTCTTTTCACCTTAAGGGCTCGTGGAGACAGACATTCAAGAGCAGCAAAGGCAGGCAAAGGAATGAGGCTGAAGGTTTTAAAGGGCCTGTCATCACCAAGTAAGGTCTTCAGGTCCTCCAGGGTTGCTACCTTTCCTCCAGACGTATAGCCAAGGCGTGGGCTGGCTCATGGGCTGCTCTGTGACGTGTGGCATGTCTGCCTGTGGCCACCCGTGCTGATTCAGCAAGTAATGCCAGCAGCAAAGTGGGCTTTCTCCTGGCTCCATCTGGAGACTGGGGCAGCCTGAGTACTTACCCCTATGGGGAACATCTTGCTAGGACTGCGGGCCTGCTCAGACTAGAAAAACCTGTATCGAGCCCTGCTGCTCTGTCAGCAGTACGGTCCTGCCACAGCCTCCAGCCACCAGTGCCCTGGGATTTCTCCATCACTCGTGGGCAGCAGATGCTAACGCTGTGGCTCTGCAGCAGAGGCGGAAACAGTTTTCCCACCCAGCCCAGTTGACTGGGATATGAAAATGTTCCCAGTCATCATGAAGGTCCCACATTTGCCTCTAGGATACAACGATGCATTAGGACTGTTACTTCTGAGCAGCTGATGCATTTTGTGCTCACACCGTGTTTGTACTGGTGCAGCCTAAGCTGATGAACTCCTCTTTTACCCTCCTCCTGCCAGCCAAAATCCTGGCAGTGTACAAAGCTGGGGCCCAAGAATTGGCATCAATGATGTGCATCAGTATGTGGTGCTTACCTAGAAGGCCGTTGTAGCTTGCTCCACTTGTGGTCCATGATGGAGCTGATGGGAGCCCCTGCAAGGCAGAGTGATGGAGAACCAGTGAGTTATGGTCATATTAGAGAGGAGGTTAATCTAGTGGGGAACAGCATCTGGGTTGCTGCCAGAACTGGTGTCTTTTAGGGGATCAGAGCATAGATTTAGGCATTGTCAATGCACAGAAACACGATCACTATATAGGATATGTGAGTCACTTAAAGCTTTTCCACCTGTTTTAACTAGCTTCTCAATATCATATCCCACCACTTGGGACAAAGTATATAAGGGGAGTTTCTCAACGGCTGTACCAACTTGCTCTGAAAGCACATAATTGTGTAGAAGTAATATCCATCTATTGAGAAAAGGAAAATGCTTGTAGCTGTTACTCTGGGCTTTCTCCCAGCTCTCCTTTACCACGCAGTTTGTAGATTGTCCCTGACATTTCAACTGTCATTTACTTACTCTTCTTGGGATTTTCCATGTGGAGAGCAGAGAGAGCTGGGAGAGGGCAAGATGGAGGGCTGTAAATACTTTGAGCCATAGCTTGCCAGAGGAGCAACTCCCCAAGTTCAGTGGTCATTATTTGCTCCTGGAAAAGCAAAGTAAAATCCACATAGTCTTCTTCCTCTCCATCTGCTCCCAGCATCGGCACGTGCTGATGAGTGGGGTCTGGGAGTGATATTTGGTTTGTGACAAGAAACCACCTTGTCCATCCAACTCTCTTTTGTCAGATCTTGCAGCGTTTGAGAGGAGAAAGCCCAGTGGAGACAGAAGGGCCATGTAGGACACGTAGCGGTGATAGCAGCCACAGGATCTCACAGTAACTAAAAACCATCATGTCTTCTGTCCTAGTTCTGGATACTGCGGGCCAAGAGGAGTTCAGCGCAATGCGGGAGCAGTACATGAGAACCGGAGATGGTTTCCTTATAGTCTACTCGGTGACGGACAAGGCTAGCTTCGAGCACGTGGACCGGTTCCATCAGCTGATCCTCAGAGTCAAGGACAGGTGGGTGCCATGGAGCCAATCGCTGCTGACCCTGCTCCCACTGCTCTGAGACCACCTATAGTTGCACACCTTGCCCTGCTTTTCACCCCCTGGGTGTCCCAGGACAATTCCTTGTGTGTGGATTTGTCGTCCTACATACGAGGAATAAGAAGTGGGTTTACCTCTTCTGATAAGCATGTAGTGCTTTCAACGTGGAAGAGTTCAGTACTGTTGTGATGGAGTGAAAATGGGTCTGAAGGGGAGAAACTCCAGCCAGAACAGTCTGGCAGAGCAGTATGAGAAAGGTAGACACCTTTGGAGGTAACACATTTGGCTCTGAAGAGGGAGAAGGATGCTCTGTACACAGTGCAGGCACTTTGAGAACGCCATCAGGGAGTCAGCAAGCCTTCAGCCCTAATCTTTTCGTCTGTCCTGGTAGCATCCTCCTTTCCCTGGCTTCAGTGGGTGCCAAACCAACCTTAGAAGGTCCTGCATGACTTGGATCTATGAACAAGTATCTTGAAAGGGAAAACACCCCACATTGGAAAGAACTGTATTTCTTACAAGGGGTGTAATGCACTTAATGCATCGTGCTCTGTAGTAGCCATTCTCAATGAATAAAACACCTCTGCATGACTGGGGAGAAAGCAAGAGAGGTCACCCGCTCCCCTCCTCATGCCTGCGTGGGAGAAGGTAGCACTGAGAGTTTAATCGTGGTAAGCAAATGTGTCCTGACAGAGCGAGGGGAAGCTGCCAGGGTTTATCTGCGAGACAACTCCCTCTTCCCATCCCAGTTCAAGAGGCGATGAATCCATCCTCGCTGGGTGGGGTGTGAATAAAGCCCTTATATGTCTGATTAAGCCCTTATATGTCTGCAGCTTTGAAACACTTGGTTTTTCCATTCATAATGGCTTTTAATTATGGAAGTCATCAAGAAAAGCCACCAGAGGGTTCGGGCCTCGTTGCTGGCTTCCTTTCGCAGCTCTGAATAACTTCCCCACAGGAAGGGTGGACTCGTATCATGTGAGGTTCACAGCTGACAGCTCTTCCAGTAAAGCATCCAAAGCAGAGCCCAGCAGAGTGAAAAGTAAAGGAAAAACCACCCTTTGGTTTCATCTAAATCAAGAAAAATGTCAGTCACTCAGTCTGCCTCCCAGATAAGGACAGGCTTTTCTTCACTGCCAGCTCAGCTTGGGGCAAATGAAATCTGTTTCTGAAAGTTGAAGAAGACAGGACAGCATTTCCTGTAACCTCCCCCAAACTGATGTCGGTTTTATTTAATTTAACTTTGTGAAAATAAGATGTGGTATTCATTGTTTTGCTCTGGACTGAAACTTCTACCCTGCTGTATGCCACGCAAGCCCCATGGCCGGCGTGTGAGAAGCAGGAAGCGAAACGGCTGGTGAGGTTGTTTTTGTTTCCCCGCTCAACACCACCGAAGCGCAGAGCGCGAGGAACTTAACGCTTCATCCACGACCCGAGCTCGTTCAGAGAATCGCAGCAGTAGGAGCGGCGTGAGCAAAGAAACCGTCCTGCCAGACCCGCAGGTAGCTGGGAGCAGAGCATCGTCCTGCTTTTCCAGCTAGCAGTCAGTTCTGGAAACTTAAAATCCAAAGGAACTGCAGGCTGCTGCATTAGTAGAGCTGTTCAAAGCCTGCCTCCTGTTTCTTCACATAACCTTCATTACAGTAAAGCTTCCAACTATAGCAGATTTGTCCAACTAGCAATCGTACGGCTTAGAACAGGGACGAAAGTCCCCGCAGAGTTTTGTGCCTGCTGTAAACAAGACAAATGAGATACTGTCCAAATGTAATTCCTTTCTTATCAATCTGCTGCAAGCCAAAAAGAAATCAAATAATCCAGACAAGCAAGTGTTTTGCTCCAGAATGATCAGAGTCAAGATATATCAATGCTCAGGTATTAAAATTAAATCAAGGCCACATTATCAGAATGAATAACTGTAAGACTCATCTAAAATGCAGAGTGCAGTACAGTATTTTTCCAGCCAGAGCAGTGGGGCAATGTGCCAGAGAGAAGATGGAGCCCTTATCGTCTCGATGAAAAATGGCACAGAAACACTGTTTGAAAATCCAGACTTACTCAGGGAAGTGTTTTATGCAGAAATGAGTATGGCCCAGCTGGTTCTTACCCCAGTAAAATCAGCTCTGTGACAGCAGAGAACACTGGAATCATTTTAGGAGGGTTTAAAGTTCAATGTAAGAAAATAATACTGCAGTAACTCTCAGTTATCAGAAGGGACCTCCTCCCTCGTAGCAGTGGGTGAAGGCCCTGCAGCACGACCTTGCTTTCCGTGCCATGCAGCTGGAGGAGAGGCTCCCACGTGTGGGACGTGGGGTGGGGTGGGCAGCAGCCGCACGGCCAGGACCACCTGTGGCGTGAGCTGGCTCGCTTCAGTTTGGTCACCAGAGCTATGGGGGTTTCTGCTGGGGAAGTGGCTGACCCACAGACCTTGTCAGGAGAGCCTCATGCTGGGTGTGCTGTGGATAGATGGGTCTCTTTTCAGGTGGTGTCCAAAGACAGTCAGTTACATGCCCAGTAAAGTTAAAGAAATACTGACTATTATTACAGAGGTAGATGGTTTTGGTGCAAAAGGATGGTTGTTCGTCAGGTTTTTGCTGTAGGATCTGAAACAGGTAATAGCATCTGGAAACTTAGCAAGACTCTTCCGTTCCCTCCAGCCTCCTTCCAGCTACCACAGCCAGTCTTTCAATTTGTCTTGGGGTAACAAATGATGGGGATCTTTTCCCCCAGACATTTTCTCCCCCATGACATGCCCCCCTCAGTGCCAGCTCTCCCAGAGTCCGCCTTTTCTTCCTCCACAGTTGCTCTCAGTGGATGGGTCTCCACCAGGACATGAACTGACACCAGTTCCTCCAACGTACCTCGGTACCTCGCAGTGACGAGCTGCTGCCAAGACACGCAGCTACTGATATGCCTTCACTGTTACGAGAGAGTCCTGTTCTCCTGCTCAAGATCTGTCTCTGTCTCTCAGTTTCCATAGTTCTTTCTTCAGCTAGATGGGTCTTCAGTCTTAGCTGTTATCATTGCTGAAACCATGGCACCAAGTCCCTGAAGTGCCTCCAACTAAGAGTGGACAGGTGCATGCATGCAACTTGTCAAGTAAATTTTTACAGTGTGAATATGTATAGCACAGTCTGGGGGCTGATGTGTGTTCATTTGGTCCTTCTTTATATTTCTTTACATGTGTGTGGTATGTCTGTAGCCAAAATTGTTAAATGATGTCAGCATCAGAAAGAGAAACTTATGCTCAGCATTTTTTATTGTAGTCTACTAATAATTGGGTGGTGGTTTTGGTTTTTTCCAGAGAGTCCTTTCCGATGATTTTGGTGGCAAACAAGGTTGATCTAATGCATTTACGGAAAATTACAAGAGAACAGGGAAGAGAAATGGCAACAAAACATAATGTAAGTTTGTGGGATTGTTTAATTGGTTGTTTTAAGTCCCATTACAGGCATTCAGAATTGAATTCTCTGCTCATTTAGAGCTGAATTAAAGCATTTCTCTTACATCAAACATATGCAATTACATTTTCGACGACTACAAAGTAGTAACTATGAAGCTTCCTTTCAGTAGGGCCAATTCATCACTGAAACTAGAACCTCTGCTGTGCAGCAGGCTCTGGCAAAGCTGTGGCCATCATGACGCCATGGGTACAAGGTAGCTCCAAGTGGTGAGAAATGTGAAGTGTTTAAAGTGAGGGAAGAAAGTGCGCCCTCCTGGAGTGAAAAAGCAGAGTCAGGTGTTAGGAGGTATACCAGCTGGCCTTATGAAACGAGCTTGTTAAAGATAATGAAGTTACAGGGTTGTTAAGCACTTCTAAATCTGGCCCACCATCTTAGCTCTGCATTATTCATGCCATAGTTTAGCCCAAGAAATTGGTCTTGGATGGGTGTAGATGACATGATACTCCACTAATCACCTTGTAAATGCCAGCAGCCCTGAATACCCGGAGGGAGGCAACAGCTCCCGGAGGAGGAACTGAATGGAAAAATAAAGGCAAACAAGCCTGAGACCTCTTGGCAGCTTGCTGTGCCTACATGGCAAACTGGGCTGTGTTTTCTAAGCAAGCCCTGATGGGAGTTTGGCAGGGCAGGTTCACTCCGTCCCCTCCCAAAGGAAGCTCGTTTCTGTAGGAGCCAGGACACCTAACCTGAACGCAAGGCATTGCATCCATCTGTAGGCGCACGCTTTGGAAAAGGCCGTGTACAAAAATACCTTATCAGAGGCAGTTTTAAAAGTCTGCCAGTGTGCTGGACAAGCACTCTAGGAGGCCCCATCTGGCTGTCAGATTTTGAAGGAGAAGATCACTTTACACTGAGGGGGGAATTGTAGTCATGAAATATTCATGCAGTAGTCCTAATAAAATGTGGCAAGCAAGAATTTTTGGCAAGTCTTCATCTTTCGACAACCTTCGAATATTTTCATGTCTGCAAGCACAGCTTAGGGGTAGAGAACATCTGACAACATGAAGCCTACAATTATTCTTCCCCAAACCCGGAGTTCTGATAGCAGCTGGTTTGCCTGGTGCTTATTCCGGACCTTTTGTAAGCACTTGCTGACCTCGCTGCAAAGATGTTGATAGCAATGTCATGACAACACTGTTTACCTGTATTTCCTCGGTCTCTTAGGTACCCGATTTCTCCAGCCTTTAGGGTTTTTCATTTTGAAACTGGTTTGCTACCAACACATAGGCTGTTACTAATCTCTTCTGTGATACACTTCTCTCCTCCAGATTCCCTATATAGAAACGAGCGCCAAGGACCCACCTCTAAACGTTGACAAGGCCTTCCACGATCTCGTGAGAGTGATAAGGTAAGCTGCAAACTCGTTGCTTGCTCGCTGCCCATGGACGGGACGTGCAGGAGTCCTGGCCCGGAGAGCCAGGAGCCAAATTTTGGGGAGCAGGGGCCAAATGGTTTGGTTGGGTGTAGGAGATTTCTGGGGTTTATTAAACTTTCTTGTCCTGTATCTGCATAGGGATGTTATGAGCACTTAGTTACCCTTGCAGGACCATCAGTGCTAGGCAAGTTGAGAACTGGCTGTGGCCACGATGAACATATATTATTCAACAAACAGTGCAAAGCCTATTTTAGCGATCAGCTTTAAAAGGCCAGCGCTAAAAGCTCTGGGCCAGTAATTTGGGGTTTCATAGCTTTGTCCTCTCAGGGTCTCACGTTGCCAGAGGTTAAAAAGGACTGGCAAAAAATTCTACAAAATTCTAATGCTGTATGTGACTTCTAACATTTTCTGCTCACTAAATGGAAAAAATTAAGCTGCTTTGTATGAGAAACAGCATGACCTAATGGCTAAGCCACAGGTTTCCTCCTCAGACTGCAGAGGTTTGTTCCCAGTTTTGGCATGAGCTGCCTTTGCTCGCTTTGGCAAACGCCTGTTCTCTGGGCAAACCCCTGCTCCAGCTGCCGGCGGGAAGGGACTGCCTTCCAAAATCCCGGCTGCCCTGCAGGAAAAGAGCTACACGCACATCTCGGCGTCTCGACTGATAACCTCAAACCTCTCTGAGTAGATTTGTTTTTCTGGCACCAGTTGTCTGCCAGATTTTTCTGAGCCCTCGTTTTTCATGTTTTGGGAGGGTACTGTGCTGAAATCATGCTCCTCCCCGCCATGCAGTCAAAGTGCCTCACGCGGCAATTAAACCATGAGGCATTTATTCACAGCGTATCTGTACTTGTGAATATCTTAGCGCAGCCTCAAGTCAGCCTCCATCAAAAGCAGATGGTACTGCCCACTCTTCCCACATGTCTCAAAAGCAGGGGGCAGAAAGCCTTTGGAGAACGACAGAGCTGAGCTGGAAATGTCCCAAGCTATTTCCCAACTGTTCTGGAACTCAGCGTTAGCTGGCTAGATATTACTTTTGTGTTACAGGGAGCTCTTACCACCATCTCGTCTACTCTGGAAAAAAAAACCCACACACAGCAAAAATAAGATGGTGAGGGTCCGTTAGCTTTTTCTACATAACGTGACTCCAGACAGGCACAGTCTGGCAGGATTGTTGTAATGAGACATCGCCAAGTTTAAGCCCCGAAAATGCACTCCATAACCTCAAAAATAGGTGATGTACCTCAGTTCCCTGTGTAGTTACCGTGAAAGTTGTTGCCAGCCAGGTGAAACCCTCCGTGGCATCAAGGGCACCAGAGATGTTCACAGGAGCGTGAACTGGCGTTAAGTCTGAGAGCAGCAAGATGCTGCGTGAGCTGGCTGGTCATTTGCCACGATGCACTTTCGCTTGGTCTTTGGACATTGCAAACTGTCCGCAGCCATAGGATGGCATCACCCACCCACCACATACTGCTTTTCTTTTTTCAAGTAAGCTTTTCCAAATAAAATGTAAATTTACAGCTCCCTAATAACCGTGTCATTCCTGGAGTGCTTTACAAATGTAGAGGCTCCTCAGAGCCTGTGCGAGTGTGCGGGGTGAGGACGCTCGTTCAGGCTTGGCACTCTTCGTGCTCCTTGCACTTGGCTGATGCCCAGTTTATTTATCTTCATGCAAGAAACTGTTGTCTGGAGGTAATCCAGAAAGGGCTGATCGAGTCTGCCCGACAGATCTTTGAAGTTTCCTGATATCCCTTTCATGCTGCAGCAGCGTATACATGAGCACCGTCACAGCAGAAATCTCAAGCAGGCGTGGGACGTGGTTTTCTGGATCTCTAAAATAGTTCCAGAATGCTGTGAACAGCTTGCAGCCGCTTAGTGTTTATCCAAATTAACTTTAAAGTATTTTTTTTATTTCAGCTTTCTAGTCTTGAGCCTTAAAGTTTCATGTTTTTCAAGCCTCCAGCCTTCAAGCTTGCTGAAAAAAGAAATCTTAGCAGTCAAAGCTGAGTTTTTCAGGTGGTTGCAAGCATTTGGGAGCTGAGGCTGTAAGAAAAACACCAAATGAAGCCATAATGTTTGTCTCCCAGCTATGTCTCATGCTGGTCTGGATACCTTTGTTTTAACCCTCAGCTTAGTGCCTGGCGTATTACGTAGCAAAGAGGCTGAGTTTGAACTATTCAAACTCAGGTTGGTTATTTAGATGCTGTTTGAACCTGTGGAAGCTGCCGGCGTTCGTATGGTTTATCTTGCAACAAAATCTAAGTCTACAGGCTGCTTATCGGGTGTTTGAACTACAAAGCTTTCTTCTGTTGAATTTGCACCACCGGGCTAGCTGAGTGGCTGCTGCAAGGAGGTACGGTCGCAAACAGGCTTTTGGGCACTGCCTCATCTTAATGAAAAGGGAGGAACCCTCGACAGAACATTTCAGAGGTTGCTGGCTGCCGGGTGCTGCCGGGACACAGTGCAGGGGGACTCTCAGCTGCGTGTTCTGGTGGCTGTGACTCCAGCCAGCCGGGGACATCTTTCTGGGGTCAGCTCGCCCTCTGTGCTCAGGTGCTCTTCGCAGCTTCCAGGGATTGCCAGAGCCCCATGGGCAGCAGACTTTGGTTTTTCATGATTATTTTGACCCCCCCTCCCTAACCAAGTCCACAGCAGTGCAGCTGGCTAAGGGCAATGCCGGCTGACAGCACATCCTTCCAGGAAGATTTATTTCTCTCTGCACTCTGTATCTCTCCCATCCCCTTCCCTAACGAGCGCTAGCAGCGGCGTGATGGATGACACTGCATGGCTCAGAGCATCCGTGTTTCCCGAAGCAGCTCCCTGGCAGGGGAGGAGGCAGCAGTTCACCCAGGGCAACCGGAGGCACTGTGCCCTGGCAGGACATACATCCCTGCCGTCAGCCTCAGTGTTTGCTCATGGCTGCTTTGCTCCTTCCTTGAAAATGCAGGCAGTTGTCTCGTTAGCTGTGTGGCGTGGTGGTAGACGGATATATGGAGATATATGTGCAAATACACGTATTCACACCAAGATGCTGGACCACTGGCTGCCCAGGGCTCTGGATGCTGATGTCCAACCCATCTGCTTGGGTCTCACCTACTTATTTTCCTCTCTTGTCTCCCAAAACAGGCAACAGATCCCAGAGAAAAGCCAGAAGAAGAAGAAAAAGACCAAATGGCGAGGGGACAGAGCCACCGGCTCCCACAAACTCCAGTGTGTGATTTTGTGACAGAACTGCCTGGGAGTGCCTTGGATGCCTCCATCCTCCCCCCTTGACCCACTGCGAAGCCAGGTGAGGAGCAGCAGCATGGCCCTGCTGCCCCTCGGGCTCCCCGGGACGCTCCGGCAACCCCAGGAGGGGGGCCGGCA